CTCGGAGGTAAGAAGTGGATTATCCTTCACCTGAAATGTTTGTCTTTTCATCCTGAAATGCAATGCGAGGCAAATGTTGGATCACAATATTAGGAACCACAGTTTCCACAAATCCCTTCATTTGATTGGGATGTTCTCTTTTATTCTGGACGGCAAGGGCAATCGAGCGAATTTTGCAGTATTAAACACGTATTTATACCGATTTCATCAGGCTCCGAAAATTCTTCAAAAAGAACACAAAGAATGGCCTTCTCAGCTGCCATAGTTGCAACTCTTGCGTCATCAGAACAGGGTGTTCAACGCACCACCGTTTCCGTTTAAAAAACGTTTTGCACCGTTTTTGTCGGGGTTGAACGCAGCCCTGGTATTGTGTGACTCCTAGTTGAGGGTTCCAAGTCGTCTTTTATTTCCTGAAGCAAATTAAAAATAACATGGCTTGGCAAATGATATTTTCGTGTTCTTCTTGCATTCCAAATAAATTACTTGTGGAAAAAATCCTCTCCCTTCTACCACGCACTCTCTCATCTCTGCGGTGCCTCCTCCTAGCAAAAAATTGCAGCCATTTCAAGCACAAAATAGTTTGACATGCTTTTTTTAGGCGTTAAATAATGGTGCAAAACTGCAAATACCAGTAATTTGACGAGCGCAAATGCTAGTGAAACGTGTTGCATGATTCATTTGAATACTCTCCTTCCATAATTTTTGCGTCTGAAAGGGAACCTCCTACAAATGCATACTCCATAAGGTCAGGCGTAAAGGTGTCCATACCTTTTCAGCGCTAATTCGTCACTCCGCATCTTTAGTAAAACCTGACAGTACTATTTTTACGCCAAAAGACGGTTTGCGCTGGCGCAAGCTGTTAGTAAAACTGGCCCTTAGTTAGTTGCATGCAAGTTCAAGATCATTTGCAATTCATGGTTTCACATCTGAAAGAGAGGCGTGCGTGCATTTTCTGTGTATACGTTCATTCTATGAATCACTTACGAATATATGAGAGATGATCTCAGATCAAATTTAGGATGGTTTCTGCACAACATTTTTTAAATGAGGCCCCTGCTGTTTCCTTTGGTAGAAATGGTAGATTTTTATTTATTTATTTATTTAATTAATATACAGTAGCCTATATATTGCTGTTAGCCCACATCTTCACAAATAATTATTCCGAGTGCCTCTATGTTGAACTCAAACATACAGCCTAGAGTGAGTTTGAAAAAGTAAGTTAATTTAAAAAGTAGGTAACTTTAAATGATGGAAAAGTTTTTTTATGTCGAATATGTGGAATACACATGATCAACTGATTTGGGGACACTGAAGGAATCAAAAGAGAGACTAAATTTGACCATTACGGTTCTAGACTTATTGGATGTCAGTATTCTTATTACAATGCCACCTTGTGACTGATTCTCACCAAATGTAATATACATCTTAATCTAGACTCCTCCTGCATATTTGCCAAATATCATATCAGTCAGCCATTTAGATTTGAAGTTCTAAGCTACTGAAGTTTGATTGGCTCCTGTTCGACATGTTTTTGCACCCCCAGTTGTAGGAGTCATTTTTATGCATCTATGTTTTGAGTTTTGTAAAGTTTGGATGTTGCGAGATGAAGATAAAGGTCAGTTCATGAAAAATAAAAAATCTAGACTATTTAATAATCTTTGACAAATCAAATATGATGGAAAAGACTGAAATGAAACTGGAAATGAAGAAATTAGTTTTCATTTTGTTTCTAGCCCTTAGGGTTCCTGAGTATATCAATATGCATGAATATGAATATGCAGTATTTTGCTAAACTTCTTTCTTTCTTTCAATTTTTGTTGTCATTTGTGGCATTTCAGAGTTACATGAAGAATCTCTACCTGGTGAAAACAAAGGTAAGATAAATATTTTACTATAATACTTATGTATGGTTTATGTAATGTGTACTTTTTGTATTATATTTATGTTAAAGTACACTATATGTGTCCTGTAAAGAATCCATATCACACTCTCCACATGGGTCTACATACGATGCTGAACCTTCATTAGAGTTCACAACAGAGGAATCAAGACCTGCAAACCAAATTTCACCAGAGTTGCCACCTGCAACTCAACCTGTGCCTACATCAGTCTCCACACCTGAATCAATTACTGAGACAACAGAATTTACAGAAGAACCCTCAGTAGAGTCCAAAGAAGAAAAAGAAGGTATGTTGAGCTTGCTTTTAATGTTGTTCTGTTTAAACAAACAGAACCATGTTCTAATAGCACCACACAACCACAGTCAGCACCCTTCTCAGGGGAAATCAACCAAATTTTTTTTTTTTAATTGGACTGCTTTGAAATACTTTACAGATACTTGTTGTGAAAAACACTATACTAATAGACATTATGCACTTCTTTGATTGATTAAGTTATTTTAAGTTACTGTAAGTCTAATGCTGTGGTGAATTATTTTACAGCCAAAAAGAAGAAACCAAAACTTCTTAATAAATTTGACAAAACAATCAAATCTGAGATCAACGCTGCAGAGAAATTACGCAAGAAGGTAAGATTCTATACTGTAAAAAAATAGTTTTTATTATGTTACTGGAAGAATAAAATGTTTTTTTGTAAAAATTTGGCATAGTATTTTTAAAAATTATATATTAAAAAAAAAAGTCGTCTTGTTTTTTTCAGGGGAAAATTGAGGAATCTCTCCATGCTTTTGAAGCTCTTGTCCAGAAGTTCCCACAAAGTCCAAGATGCCGATATGGTAAAGCCCAGGTAACATATAATCATTAAAGTTAACATTACTGTTTACATCACATGATGGTCACTCTCATTATTTTGCTTCAGTAGAAAATCCTCAACAAAATAGTTTTTTCTGAGAAGTGTGATATGTGTCCAGGCAGAAGATGATTTGGCAGAGAAAATGCGCAGTAATGAGATGCTGCTGAAGGCAGTGAACTCGTACAGAGAAGTAGCCGATCTCCCAGACGTACCACCTGACCTCATCAAAGCCACATTAAAGAGACGTGCAGACAGACAACAGTTCTTAGGTATACAAGTAATGTAGCTATATAATTATGGTGACTTCTCATTGACTGTTGTAAAATAATAATTGTTTGTTGTCCATAACAATATGAGAACATTCCCAAAAGATATTCCTTTGTCATGTTCCCGTTCAGGTCGTACAAGGGGATCTTTGGCTACTTTGGAGAAGCTAGTTCAGATATTCCCAGAAGACGTCAGCTTAAAGAATGACTTGGGAGTGGCACATCTGCTTCTGGGTGACAACAAGAGTGCAAAACGAATATATGAGGAGGTAAGATATCGCTATTATGTTGTTATTATGTTTACCAATTTGATGTGGATAACTAATTTCCCCTTTTTTGAAATTCCTCTTCAGGTTTTAGCTCGTGCCCCACATGATGGATTTGCTAAAGTGCATTATGGGTTCATACTTAAATCCGAAAACAAGATTGCAGAGAGCATACCGTACCTCAGGGTAATTCTGATTTTTATGAACAGAAATATACAACATATACTTCCACTCACACACACATACAAGTAATTAAATATTTTCTTCTTCTTTGTGTGTGCTTAGGAGGGTTTGGAGACTGGAGAGCCAGGAACTGATGACGGAAGATTTTACTTTCATCTCGGGGATGCTTTACAGAGAACAGGAGACAAGAGTGTAAGATGAAAGTAAGAGTAAGATTATTAAAAGGAAGTTTACAGAGAAAAAAAAAGTAAATTTGGTGGGGGTTTTTTTTTGCATGTGTTTAGGCCTATGACTGGTATGAGGCTGGACATCGGCGAGGTCACTTTGCCTCTGTATGGCAGAGATCTCTGTATAATGTCCCAGGGCTTCGTGCTCAACCTTGGTGGACGGCTGAAGAGACTGGATATACAGTTTTAGTCAAGGTAAAGACTAATATATATATATATATATATATAAGGTGCCTTGCGAAAGTATTCATTTTTTTCACGTTTTGTTATGTTGCTGCCTTATGTTAAACTGCTTTAAATGACTTTTTTTTCCACATCAATCTACACTCCATACACCATAATGGTAAAGCAAAAAACTGGTTTTTAACATCTTTGCAAATTTATTAAAAATAAAAAACTAAAATGATTCCCTTGCCACTAAAACCCACTGGGAGCACCTTAGCAACTGCATCTTCAAAAAAAACAAAAAAACATTTGTGTTAACCATCAAATAGCATGTGTTAAATTGTTTTGTTACTGTTAATCGGCACTTCCTGCAGACCGAACTGCAACAGTTGTCAACACTGTCTAAACCAGAAGTGTAGTGTCTCAAGACACAATGTCAAACATCTTTTAACTTAATGCATTAAAAGCCCCCCACCCCAGTTCTGTTCCAGTCTTATACTGTATGTAACTACACATTTATAACACACATACACTACCAGTCAAAAGTTTTTGAACAGTAAGATGTTTAATGTTTTTTAAAGAATTCTCTTCTGCTCACCAAGCCTGCATTTATTTGATCCAAAATACAGCAAAAGCAGTAATATTGTGGAATATTTTTACTATTTAAAATAACTGCTTTCTATTGAATATAATTTAATAATTTGAATATAAATTAATGCTTTTATTTAACAAGGATGCTTTAAATTGTAGCATTTATAATGCTACAAAAGATTTCTATTTCAGATAAATGCAGTTCTTCTGAACTTTCTATTAATCAAAGAAACCTGAAAAATGCAACATCATAATAATAATGATAATGATAAATGTTTTTTGAGCAGCAAATCAGAATATTAGAATGATTTCTGAAGGATCATGTGACTGGAGTAATGATGCCAAACATTTTGCTTTGAAATCACAGGAATAAAATACATTTTCAAATATATTCAAATAGAAAAGTTATTTTAAATAGTAAAAAATATTTCAAAATTGCACTGTTTTTTCTGTACTTTGGATCAAATAAATGCATGCTTGGTGAGCAGAAGAGACTTCTTTAAAAAAAAAAACACATAAAAAAATGTCACTGTTCAATAGAAAACAGTTATTTTAAATAGTAAAAAATATTTCAAAATTGCACTGTTTTTTCTGTACTTTGGATCAAATAAATGCATGCTTGGTACAAAAAATGTCACTGTTCAAAAACGTTTGACTGGTAGTGTATAATCGCTATTTCACATTAAATTAAGCCAAAAACATAGTCATATTGATAAAATTGATAAACAATTCACATTAACAGCATCTTCTCCTGAAATCCCCAGTGGAGATCTATTACACATTGTTTACATTGTTTGTTGAGTGTGAAAGAGAGCTCTGTCCCCATCTACATTTCCTGCCGATATTGAAAATCAAACCTGCAACCTTCGGGTTATTAGTCTGACTCCCTAACCATTAGGCCACAACTGCCCCTATAATTATTCAACACTTTAACTGTGAAGGAAGTGCACTTTGTATGCTTGTCTCTCTGCTTTGCTTTCATTGTGTTCATATGTCTTTACAGATGTTGGAACGTAACTGGTTGACCATTAGAGATGAAGCACTGTCAGTGTTAGATGGCACCAGTGGACAGTTCTTGCCTGAAGATGAAAATCTGAGAGAGACAGGAGACTGGGGCCAGTTTACACTGTGGCAGCAGGGTAAAATGTATAATTAATGTATAATATCCACCAGCATGTACCTTAGTTTTACCAACAAATTCCTTATATAATTGCACTGGATATGCATCCATCCACCTGTTTCCCAACAGCTTGTCCTATGTAGGGTCACAGGGATGTTAACGCCTAACCCAGGATTTTGTTTTTAGTGGTTCTTGCTTTTTTTAAGGTGCAGTCACATTTACCGTTGCTCTGCAAAATTTTGCATCGCAAATCCATTAGGAATCTGTGCGATCAGGGGTGAATTCACAGCATTGACCAACAAAACCCTGCTTAATTTAAAAGTGACTTCTTTGTGAGCAGTTCTTAATACATCTTAACCTTTTTTGATTGTAAAGTTCCTCTGCAATTAAGACCACACCTTTATTCAGAAAACCATTGGTGAGCACAAAATTATTTAAATGAGAAAATCATTTTACATGTAATCCACATGGTTTTTCAACTACAAGTTAAAACAGAGTCACTTCATTTAGCAACCTAGTGTGGATTTCTTTGAATATTCTAAAGTCTTGGGTGGTGTTACTGTTGTTGTTTTTTTAATATGTAATATTGAGACACTTTTGGGGAAAACGCAATGTGTATGCAAGTTTTACTCTTTCTCAGGTCGAAAGGTTGCTGCTTCATGTCGCCATGTCCCTAAAACCTGTGCTTTGCTGGAACGTTACCCAGAGGCCACTAGCTGCAAAAGAGGCCAGGTCAGTCACCAGAAATCAATTACAGTTGTACACACTTGCCTAGCTGTACATTTAATTTAGCTTCACCATGTCTCCTTTTTACAATGCTTATTTCTGTTTATGAACTGTTGCTTATTCACAGTTGCCTACTCATTTAAATGTTCCTCTTTTAGATCAAGTTTTCAGTAATGCAAACTGGTACTCATGTATGGCCTCACACTGGTCCCACCAACTGTCGTCTACGAATGCATCTAGGCCTTGTCATTCCTTCTAAGGGATGCAGGATTCGTTGTACAAACCAAACCAGGTCAGTTAAATCATAGAAACACAAGTTTACACACATTGATTAAAACTGCATTAACTACAAAGCTTTTAAAATGTTTCACTATTGGCAGCTCCATTTCCACTCCAACTAGTTGGTTACAGGGTTTTAAATGAACACTTGACAAGCATCAAATGTAAATAAAAAATTGGCGAGTTGAAGAACTTTGATATTTGGTTTATTTCATTTTTATTGATTTATTTTTGGAATTCATGTGTGGCATGGCTTTTATTATTTAAAAATGTATTCAGCACATAAAAAAATGTCACTGTTCAATAGAAAACAGTTATTTTAAATAGTAAAAAATATTTCAAAATTGCACTGTTTTTTCTGTACTTTGGATCAAATAAATGCATGCTTGGTTGGTAGAAGAGACTTCTTTAAAAAAAAAAAAAACATACAAACAATCTTTTGAGCGTTAGTGTAAATGTACAGAATAATAGTTGTGTGTTCACATGACAGATGTAAAAGTCTCCACTGCCAATAGCAGAAGATATGATGAATGCTATACTTTTTTTGGTAGATATCTCTTATATTAATGCTCGCTATTCTGGGCTCTGGCCCGACAGTCAAAAAGAGTCATGGTTGAGTCCCTTAATGGCTCTCAATGGCGTTGTAGTAATTATATTTAATGTGAGGGTAAATGCGAAACGAATGTGAAGAGCGCAATAACAGGACTCTAGCCCTGAACAGAGCTGATCTCTCTCAGCTGGACTCTGTCTCTCATCGTCTGATCTGGATCCGTGGCTCTCGAGAGCGTTTGTGGCTGTCGAGCGTCTCAGGTGAAGGCCAGAGTCCGGAAATGTCACTGTTCAAAAACGTTTGACTGGTAGTGTATAATCGCTATTTCACATTAAATTAAGCCAAAAACATAGTCATATTGATAAACACTGATTAAAATTCACATTAACAGCATCTTCTCCTGAAATCCCCAGTGGAGATCTATTACACATTGTTTGGCATGCTTCTTGAGTGTGAAAGAGAGCTCTGTCCCCATCTACATTTCCTGCCGATATTGAAAATCAAACCTGCAACCTTCGGGTTATTAGTCTGACTCCCTAACCATTAGGCCACAACTGCCCCTATAATTATTCAACACTTTAACTGTGAAGGAAGTGCACTTTGTATGCTTGTCTCTCTGCTTTGCTTTCATTGTGTTCATATGTCTTTACAGATGTTGGAACGTAACTGGTTGACCATTAGAGATGAAGCACTGTCAGTGTTAGATGGCACCAGTGGACAGTTCTTGCCTGAAGATGAAAATCTGAGAGAGACAGGAGACTGGGGCCAGTTTACACTGTGGCAGCAGGGTAAAATGTATAATTAATGTATAATATCCACCAGCATGTACCTTAGTTTTACCAACAAATTCCTTATATAATTGCACTGGATATGCATCCATCCACCTGTTTCCCAACAGCTTGTCCTATGTAGGGTCACAGGGATGTTAACGCCTAACCCAGGATTTTGTTTTTAGTGGTTCTTGCTTTTTTTAAGGTGCAGTCACATTTACCGTTGCTCTGCAAAATTTTGCATCGCAAATCCATTAGGAATCTGTGCGATCAGGGGTGAATTCACAGCATTGACCAACAAAACCCTGCTTAATTTAAAAGTGACTTCTTTGTGAGCAGTTCTTAATACATCTTAACCTTTTTTGATTGTAAAGTTCCTCTGCAATTAAGACCACACCTTTATTCAGAAAACCATTGGTGAGCACAAAATTATTTAAATGAGAAAATCATTTTACATGTAATCCACATGGTTTTTCAACTACAAGTTAAAACAGAGTCACTTCATTTAGCAACCTAGTGTGGATTTCTTTGAATATTCTAAAGTCTTGGGTGGTGTTACTGTTGTTGTTTTTTTAATATGTAATATTGAGACACTTTTGGGGAAAACGCAATGTGTATGCAAGTTTTACTCTTTCTCAGGTCGAAAGGTTGCTGCTTCATGTCGCCATGTCCCTAAAACCTGTGCTTTGCTGGAAAGTTACCCAGAGGCCACTAGCTGCAAAAGAGGCCAGGTCAGTCACCAGAAATCAATTACAGTTGTACACACTTGCCTAGCTGTACATTTAATTTAGCTTCACCATGTCTCCTTTTTACAATGCTTATTTCTGTTTATGAACTGTTGCTTATTCACAGTTGCCTACTCATTTAAATGTTCCTCTTTTAGATCAAGTTTTCAGTAATGCAAACTGGTACTCATGTATGGCCTCACACTGGTCCCACCAACTGTCGTCTACGAATGCATCTAGGCCTTGTCATTCCTTCTAAGGGATGCAGGATTCGTTGTACAAACCAAACCAGGTCAGTTAAATCATAGAAACACAAGTTTACACACATTGATTAAAACTGCATTAACTACAAAGCTTTTAAAATGTTTCACTATTGGCAGCTCCATTTCCACTCCAACTAGTTGGTTACAGGGTTTTAAATGAACACTTGACAAGCATCAAATGTAAATAAAAAATTGGCGAGTTGAAGAACTTTGATATTTGGTTTATTTCATTTTTATTGATTTATTTTTGGAATTCATGTGTGGCATGGCTTTTATTATTTAAAAATGTATTCAGTGAATGTTGATTGTCTTTCAGGGAGTGGGAAGAAGGAAAAGTGTTAATATTTGATGACTCGTTCGAGCATGAAGTCTGGCAGGAAGCAGAAAGCTACAGACTCATCTTTATTGTGGATGTCTGGCATCCAGAACTCACCCAATTACAGAGGCAGACTCTGTCACCAATATAGACGATTTGTTCAAAAACGGAGTTTTGAAAAGTAGGTCAACCGCCAATCGGCGTGACCGATTTACTGTCCTTAGCCAATCACAGATTTCATAAATCACAAATATCTATTGTGCTGTCCTGTGGGTACTGATTACAAGGCAATGTGAATGTATAAGTCTTATAAAAAACAATCATGCTGATAGTTGTAAATATTATAAGTGTGATTTTTGAAAAACATAAAGGATGGATTTAGAAGTTCAAGGGTTTTAAAAAGACAGTTCACCTAATATTCAATATCTTAATTCTGGTAAAGCAAATACGATTTGTAATCATGTTTCAGAAGCATGTTTTAGGGCTCAACAGTAAACAGTAAAATGAAAGATACAATAAGGATTAAAACATACATTTTGAGATTTATATCTTCGGTTAGACTGAAAGGTTACCTTTAGTAAAATAACAGTACAATGAGATGCATGTTACGGGACCAATGAAGAGATTAGAATATTAGAGAATGAGTTGCATTTGCTCTTTCTTTCTGGAAAAAAAGGAGACCTCAGTCACTTTTTATAGAAATATGATTGAACATTGCACTGTATGTTGTGGGTTACTTTATATAATGTGTGTCCAGGTGAATACATAAATGAGCAGATGTGTTAGCTATAAGAGATGAGTGCACAGCCATAAAAAAAAATCACTTTGTGCCTTTTCCAACCTTGGAAACTATTCTATTAAGGTCAAGTGTAACGTTTTGTGAAATGTGATGTGGATATGTTTTCTTCAGATTCACTGCAAGCACACATTTTATTAACACTACAAATTCTACATGATTTTTGTATACATGTTAGTTTACATAATTTCATCATGTGAAAATGTTTGTTCTTTGTATCGTTTGGGAAGTATTCAATTTTGATATGTCTGAAAAGAACAATAGTAATAATTTATCTCAATTATAACAATTAAAAAGAGAAAAAAACACTAATGAAGACATCAGTACATTTAAAGAATTCATCTAATCAAAAAAATAGATCTGTTCAAATGCACTTTGAGGTCCAGTGTATTCAGGTTTGTAGTTATAGATCAAAGCTTTTTCCTCTTCCGCTGTACTAGGAAAGCTGTGAAAACTTTTCCTCGCTGTAAAAGCAACAAAATGAGGAGAACGGTTACTCTGTGAAGGTCTAACTTCTTAATTTGTTAATTCATTGCATTAAAGGAATCAAATTTAATTAGGAGCTAATAAAAACACATTGTATGTTGCTCAGTAGTAGTATTATTATTAACCATACCTTCATTCACAAAAAAGTAAGCCATGTAGAATGTGGTCTTAATGGCTGAAGGTGTGTGGGGAATATAGGGCCGAGTCCACTCAAAAGCATTTTTCTCTGGATGCCATTGAGTAGCGTAGATAGGGAAATCATATGCTGAGGGTATGCATAAAAACAGTACAATGACAAGGTTGCTCAATAGAAAGAGGCAGAAAGCACAGTCTATATCAGGGGTCACCAAACTCGGTCCTGGAGGGCCGGTGTCCTACAGAGTTTAGCTCCAACTCGCCTCAACACACCTGCCAGGAAGTTTCAAGTACGTCTAGTAAGAGCTTGATTAGCTGGTTCAGGTGTGTTTGATTAGGGTTGGAGCTAAACTCTGCAGGACACCGGCCCTCCAGGACCGAGTTTGGTGACCCCTGGTCTATATGTTTCCTCTATCAATCCATCTGATTATCATCATCACTTACCTTCCATTGTGGACACAAACTCATTTTGTCCATCTGTGTTGGTACTTAAAACTCTGTAGAACTTTTTCAGGGTCTCACTCTTGGTAAAGTTCTAGATTTAAAAGTTTGAAAATGCCTCATTTTATTTCATCCAGCAAAAAAACAAAAATATACATTAAATCCATTACATGTGATATGTTCTTTTTTTTTTTGTACATTACCCTTTAAAATGAACATTGCCATGCATCATATTAATATTGCAATATTGAATATATTTCCCTGTGAGAACTAAAACATTTCACCAAATTGACCAAATTTCTATCACAGACATGATGTTGTGCATTGGCGTGTATACTGTATACTAAATAATGTCTGGTGATACTGTAAAGTGATAAACTATTACTACATTCAGTGAATACATTCCAAACAATCAAATGTATTAGACATTGTTTTCTAAGATTTGAAGGTGTATTCTTTTCCTGTTGTGTACAACTGGTTACCAGTAAAGCATACAATATTAAATTAAAAGTTTAATAAAAATGTAACACTAACTTGTTAATCATTTCTATTTTAATAACGTTAATTTAATCACTTGTTTATACATTTTATTATAAAGCAGGAATCAAGAGACTTTTTTTTTTTTTTGCCATACCAGCATCTATGCCTATTTTCATGGCAAGATCAATGTATTTTAAAACAAGCATCTAGTAGTAACAAAGTAGTAATGAAAACAACAATTGATTTCAATAAATAGTTGTTGAATGGTGATAGTAATATTTGCTACTCTACCTCTGTAGTAAGACTCCACTGATGAGAGTTCTCTGTGAGCGGTTCTGTTTCCAGTGATTTCATAAGATCTTCAGGAAAATCTTTGAACAGTCTACTGTCTCTAACATCTAAACAGCATTAGATAAATGAATAATATTTATACATCTATGATGACTACGACGCTTATTCTTAAAATATGTTCACTTATTTGAGAAATTTATACTAGCTGCACTGCAGTGGCACAATGATAATTACATGTTACATCACAGAGTACCAAGCTAATAGTCCATTTTTGTGAAATTTGTGACTGGAATTAAGCTGACAATATCACTTGCATTAACCATTATGTAAATATATTTGATTTTACAGTTAATTGTTATAAAACATGGCTTTACCGTCTGTGAAGTTCAGTGGCAAGGCAATACCACTAGTGTTGGTGTGGGACAACAGCAACTTCCCGCTTGTTAGCAATGTGAGAAGTTCAAATCCTAAACAGGTTCCCCATACAGGGAAATAATCACCATTTGAATTGGCCTGTTAACACACAAACATATCTATAAATTGGCTGGAAAATTAAATTACACCAACATATTGTATTCCTCTTACACCAACATAAGTAAGAGGAATGCCAAACAACAAAATGCAGTGTATATGTGTGTAAAATGAAGATCATTATGACTTTTCATGAATTTGTCCATTGCTCAGGGGTTAAAAGTTTTACCAGCCCTCTTTTATAGCTCATACACACAAATAACAAAATTGACTATAAACCCAAAGTCTGACCTCTGCAGCTCCATTTAAAATTGTACTTTATTTCACAATGTTTAACTCATTTCTATTTTACCTAACTATCAATGCTGCTCAAGTGTTGCTTAATGTTATGTTAATGTACTTTGGATACATTGTCATGCTGAATAATTGTACCAAATGGACCATTTGTACACAAACCTCAAGAGCAAGTCTGTAGAAAATGCCAGCTGCTTTGGAATAGCCAGATGATTCTAAACTGACTCCACCTCCAGGAAAAAGGACTCTAGAGAGAGAGAAAAGGTGTCACAAATGTTATTCAACCCTTATTGTATTCACTGCTATAATTATAAAAATACTTTACTTACCCATTTATGGATTTGAAGAGCTTTCTGTACTCATCATCAGACTTATTTATCCTAAAGACATTTTTTAAAAATAAGTTGTAATTTTGTGAAAATTGCAGTCTTGCACATTCACAAAAAAAGGCTTACTTCCACGTTGAAAAATGAGGTGGATAGAGAGCAGAGGGCTCTTTATGCTGCTTTATTCATTCATTATTTAACGCAGAGCTATGTAACCTTGTTTATAAACTTTAAGACATGGCTAAGTTGTAGTCCATTTTTACGTACTAAAAATAATAATAATAATAAAAATAAAAAAATACTATGTATGAATGACAGTTATGTTTCACATTCCATATTGCTTCTACTTTCACAAAATTCTAGGCAGTATGTAGTACGCTAGTAAGCCACTACGAACTCGATGTTTATGCTGCAAGTGGACAAGGAGAAAAAACACTGTTTCTCATTTTAAATAAATAAACCCTGCATGTTTACAGTGAAGGCATTTTCTCTATAGCAGGGGTGCCCAAACTCGGTCCTGGAGGGCCGGTGTCCTGAAGAGTTTAGCTCCAACCCCAATTAACCACACCTGAACCAGCTACTCAAGTTCTTTCTT